TATTTAAAAAAAAAGTGTACATAACTAAATATTTCCTACTATTCATTAAGATTTACATTTATTTTAAGTAACTACATCATTTTTAAGTATGAATAAACTTATTTAGAATTATGGTAACAATAAATGACCAAGTGGTGTTCAAAATTTTCTAACAAAAACTTGTGGCTTCTGTCTGAGTACATATATTTATATATGGAAAAACTTCGTTCAACATCAACTGATGTAACGGGAGCATTTTTCAAACTAACCAAAACATTTGGTTCTAAATTAATTGTTTCCGAAATATTTCCAGCTAGAACACTGACTACTTCAGAAAGAATATGGTAACCTTTATTTTTTTCCATAGTAGCTTCAAATTTTTTTAAAATATCTTTTCCAATATTACCTCTAACGTTCCGACAACATGACGCAAATTCTTTTATTAATGCTGTACTTTCGAACAATGACAGTTTTGGTGATTCTAACTGAGTAATTGTTTTTTGAACAAAACTAAAATTTGATTTTATAAATGAAAGTTCTTGTTGAAGCAAGTTACTCTGAAAAGTTTGTTTAGAATCCAAAAGAGATTGGGAACTTTCATCTGTTAACGTATCAATTATGTTCTTTATTTTAACAAAATGATCTGCATAAAAATTAGCTGCTTCTAACCATGTTCCCCATCGCGTTAAAATAGGTTGTGGTGGAAGAGGAATGTTAGGTAGCATTTCTTTATAAAGTTGAATTCTTATAGGAGATTTAAGAAATACTTTTTTGACACTGGATATCATGGTATTTACAAGAGGAAACTTTTTTCGTATTTCCTCTGCAACTCTGTTTAATCCATGCGCTACACAAGTAACATGTATTAAATCTGGGAAAAATATTTTTAAATTTTGTCCTGCTTTCACCATATAAGGAGCAGCATCCGATAAAATAAGCAGTAATTTATTAGAAGGAATAGTTGTCGGAAGAAAAAAAGTTGCTAATGTTTCTTGTATAAAACGCGAAATTGTTAAAGCATTTGTTTTCTCAAGTTGCTGGCATGAAATAAGATGAGATTTTGGTAAGGTATCTTCTTTAAGAACACCAATCAATAAATGAGCAATATACTTTCCTGAGGAATCAGTGGTTTCGTCTACAGATATGTAAAAATAATTATCTGCAATTTCTTCCTTAATATTAATTAACACCGACGAGTATAGCCCGTTCACATTATTTCTTCTTAGAGACCGATCACTTGGAACATTAAGTTTGCAATATTTTTTTAGAAACGAACTAAAATTTACATTTGCTAATTTTGAAAGCGGTATGTTTGCAGACACTAATGCGCGACACAAGTCTTCATTAAAAGTTTCTTGCTCATCTAATTTTTTTGAAGTAGATTGGAAACATTTAGCCATTGAAGTTTGATGTTTTCCTCCTATTTTTCCTTTTTTTGCAATGTGTGAAGCAGTTCTCACATGTTGGTCTATCTGAAATTTCTTCTCACATGCTATCTATAAATAAAAATAAAAACCTTTATTTTAACCCAACCTTTAAAATATAAAAATATACAAGGTGTTTTTGGTTAATCAAATAACTGGTTTGGAAAAAAAAACACTCGCTAAGTGTTTTAAATGCAGTATTAATCCACAAATTAGTTTTTGTTACTAACCATTAGTACATCATATAACTTATTTTAAAATTCAACAAAAGTTTTTTTTTTGTTAATTCAATTACAATAAAAATAATTGTGTTTTAGAATAGCTGACTTCATAAAAAAAAGTAAAGGTGAAAAATTTTTCTAAATACACACCATTGTATTGTACCATGGACAATTTTTTCTCACTAAAGGAAGCTATTTTTCATTTAAAAACAACCTACGAGTACTAAATTTCAAGTAAATACGTTTATTGGTTTTAAAGTTATTGTTGTTATTAACTAAAAGAATTTAATTTTTTTTAATTTTAACACCCTGTATCTCGAAAAGTAAATAAGTTTGACCCCTCATTAACTATATCGTTTTGTTCAATTTTTCGAGAAGTATCTACAGTCAAACGTTGTAAGTGTCATTTGGAAACACCCTGTATGTATGAAATATTAGATATTTAATAGAAAATATTAGATACTTACAATTTTGCCACAGACTGAACAGTAGATTTTTCCCATATCCATAGACAGCTCTTTATAAGGTTTAATCCAAGTTGAAGCACTGGTTGTTTTAGGCATTATAAAATCACAATCTTCCTTTTTGTTACGCACAACGAGTGTTTACGCTTTGAATATCAAAACAAAAATGATTTACAAATCTGAGCATCAAATTAGAAATGTTTAGGTACCTAATTCAATAAACTGGGAGATTTTGGAAAATCCCTAAATTAGGAACAAAACTATTAGCCGTTTACCTGCTGTTAAGATACAATAAATTGTAGATAGATTTGGGGATTAGATCATAAAATGCAAATGAGCGAACCCTTAGCGATTATCCAATAACTGAATGCCTCAGTGACCGAGACTTTCTAAGAATGTTGAGGGCTACTTAAATTGATCTTCTTTGAAATTGTAAATGTTTTGTACCTGTAGAGATTACGTACTTAGATCATTTCTTGATTAAAATGACTACAAAATTTTATACAAGAATTGAAATAAATTGGTATGTTTAAAAATTTTCAAATACAGTATAAAAATCTGAACTTTTATGCACTTTATGCAAACTTTTATACAAATATGCCAAAATATGAAATATTTGCATAAAATATGCACAATATGCAAAATATGCAATATGCATATTTGCCGAAGTCTAATAATAAGTATATGTATCATTAACCTGTTGTTCATAGTTTTGCATAATGTTCTTGCATAATGTTATTCAATGTAAATTTCTTTCACCTACTTGTTTAATAATTTTTTTCTAAAACAAATGAAGGGCTGAGTGGATGAAGGAGGTATGTAACAAAATGTAAGTTTTGAGATATTTGACCCCAAAGTTTTCATTGTAGAACTTTTTTGTAGTTATTGGTTTTCAAATACTGAACTAATCATACTGTTCCCATGAGTGGTGAAATTAATATAAAAATTGAGAAAATTTTTAAATATCTGCTAACCAGACAAAAAAAAAGATGTTGTGTACATACCTATTTCTTCCACAAAGAAGTTGTATATTTCATCTTTGTCTAAAGGATAAAACAGATTATGTGCATACAATTGAAAATACTGTTGTGTAGATAGTCAAAATGATATTTATTTTTAATATGTATACATATTTTAGTAACACCAAGGATATCGAAAATAGTCACCCCTTAAGTTTATTCATTATTTTCACGCAAAATAAGCTCATAGAACCACCTGTGTTGTTCTGGAACGAAGGGAATTTGTTGTGTTAAGTTATCAATTTTCTCTTTTGATAGTGCACCGGTTTTCCTGAAAAGTCTTGGAATGTCAAAATCTTCGGAAAGTGTGGAGGGCTTTTTCAATTTTTTAAGAATATTAACTTCTTTTAAAGGAGTATCATAATCGAAACTCTCCTTGAAGAGGTATGACCCATAAGTATCTACAAGGATCCATTTAATTCCATCATATACTTTTTTACTTAGAAATATAATTTTTCATTTAGAACATCTTTTTTTCTATTCATCAGGTGCATTTTATTTAGAAGGTTCTCGGTGTCTTTGAAATGATGTTGCATATCAATAACCATGATATTATTCTTTTTATTGGCAGAGGCAATAATTTCACGGTATTGTTGTGAAGTACAAATAGTTTGATGTTTCCTTAATCTTTTTTCAATTCGGCCAAAATTCCGGTCTGAATCCAAGTAGGAATGACCTACTTCAGGAAACTGATGCTCGATTATTTGGAATATTCCTTTTTTTTATAAGATACTCATAAGCACACACCATTAGGAAATTTTTGTTCTGCCCTGCACACGAATCTGTCCAAATATTTAAGTGATTTTTTTGTTTAAGTGCCAGCTCTATTTCAATGGTTCTTAAAAGACAACTAGCGATCTCACTACTACCCCTTGGTATGCTTGGTCTTCAGTCCATGTACAAAAAATTGTTTTATCAACTTCTTTAGTTATAATATGTATGCCTAAATTATAGAACCACAGTTGGCGGAGGTAAAATGCTTTAGAAGTACTGAGTCTAGGCAACGGCATCGGAGGTCGAATGTCATATATGCAACACCATCTGTATTTTTGGCTAGTTCCCTGTCGATATTCTGCGCCGCAAACGCTGCTATATAATTTTCAATATGTTCCTTATTTGCAGCACCAGAATCGCAAGTGCTGCAAGTGTCACTTTTCGGGTGTCCAAACGATAAGTTGAATTCATTGTTAAAAATATTGCGGTACGTGCATTCTTCAACTTTGAATCGATTTTGGACTTTGTCTGCATTACATGTATCAATATAAAGTTTATGCATAATAGAAAGCGATAAAAGCGGAGACAAATATTTCTTATGGATATTGCAGTTTCTTGAATAATGAGATAATTCTGAAGGGAAACTTGAAATATGCTGGATTATATAAGCTACAACATCATCTTGAATTTTATTGGGTCTTTTTTGTGTTTTCCTCTTTTGTCTGGTAGAGGAGCAGCTAAACCCATCTTAATTTGCTTTTGAATTAAGTCAACCTTCTTCATGCTAATGTTGTATAACGAAACAAAAGCTCGTTTACATGTAATAGTTTGTTTTGCCCCGTATGTTACGTTATATTGGAATGAGGCGGTCTTGTGTTTTAAAGCTCCAGTTGTTTGTCTGTGTGTGGGGATTATTTTGATACTATTATACAGAAAAGAGTTTTTAGCATTTATATCCAGTTTGTACCACGATGACAAAATGTTTTCCCTGTTTTCAATTGTAAATACCTGGGAGCACTGTCGGCGAAACTTTTCGGGGCATACATTATTACCTTTGACACTAGTCTTAGCAGGTTTCAACTCACCTTTATGATTTGTGTAGGCCTCTCCTCTCTGGCTGCAGAGTGTAGCTTATCGTTTCTTACATTCATCATCATTTCGTTGCCTTTTTCTACTTACTTTTATTTTTGGTTGGAAATGTTTCTTTTTACGGTGGACTGTAGGCAATGTATACTCTTTTTCATTATGACCAACAATATTTTCATTAGATTTTGCCTGACTTACGTGTATGTTATTATCCTCCATTAGTATATCATTCTCTTCTTCCATCAGTTCATTATTACTCTGTGCATCTACCATCTCATTATCAATCTCGTTGTCTGATGATGAGTCGATGTAATCTTTCGGATCTGGCACGTATTCATCACCATTAGAGTTGTCCCCGAATAAGGTATCGCAACTTGAACTGTAGTTATTGTCTTCGCCATCATCTGAAAAACAAAAGATATAGTCAATTTACTGTAGTAGTTATAAGGCACTTAACCTATCCTTAGCACTTTATAAGTCGTGTCTTGCTATGACAAATTACATAATAATCATAACAAAACAGTTGACCAAGTCATGACATAAAACTTTTGTCAAATTTGTTAATTTCATTATTCATAATAATAACAGATGGAAGTATTTTGTTAGATTTTTTAATTTTAATTAATGTCAGTTTTTACATAAGGAAAACTGTAGTATTACTTGTAATTTCGAATATCTGTTTGATTAAAAAAAACAAAAGATATTAAACTATACATTTGAAGTCGAAGCAGAACTGTTTACCTCCAAGTTAACCCTTGGACACGTTGTGAAAGTATATGGCACTTTCCCTATAACAATAAAAAATACCATTGAATATAACAAAATACTCCTACATGAATTTAATATTTTATAAAAACGATGCTTACATTCTTCTTGGCGAACTTCATTCTTGCCTGTAGAATGGGCTTGCCTGTAGAATGGAATGTTAGGCTTCTAAATTTTTAAAAATTTGATTAAATTGGCAAACCGACAATTCACCACTACTGTTTATTAATCCAGTAATCGATGCAACAATGTTAAGCTTAACATTCCATCGCTTATGTTTACTGTTTTAGTCATACAATACTGCAAATTTTTTATTTTGTAGCCATGATGCCATACATCGCCTGATTTGTCTCCTTAAACTCTTTAAATTAATTTAATATTCTATAAACTGAATCTATAATCGATATCGCTAATTTAACTTATTTTTCTAGTTCAAGAAAAATCTAACTGACGAAATAACGGCATCGGTTGCAAGTATTGTTTCTAACATCAAGCCACATACAGTAAGTCAACCTTCTTGTTACCATTCGAGAAAATCCAAGGCTGAGAATTCAAAGAGAAGAAAACTACCTTTACTAATAGGCGAAGGATCCCACGAGTAAGTCAAGACAAATATTTTAAATTATAATTGACTTTTTTTAATATCAACACTTTTTGTTTATCATAGACGAAATTATCAATAAAGTGAAAACAATTAAACGATATCGAATTGGGACAATCAAACTGAAAGTTATTCGCTATGGCGATAACCTAATGAATATAGACCATGGAGAGCATGAGGATGATCTTCATGAAATGCTGAGCCAGTTTTCCTACGTATAACGTGATAATATTGTAACGAATATATTTTGCCTACCACATGGGGTATTACTATAAGGGGTAGAAAATTGGGGACAGAAATTATTGGGGCGAAGGTAGGGCAAGCAAAATGAACGCTACTTGTGCTAACGGCACTCAGGGTTTGTTTGGAGAGCTGGGGTCGTGGATAAGTAAATGGCAATGGGTTGGATTGGGGCAACTACAGAAAAATGAAATAAAAGGGTCATGAATATCTTGGGACAAACAAAACAAAGGGAAACGCCTCTAGCAATTTAAACAGGACGCCGCTTCGAGGTGCCAAATTATAACTATTACAACAGCTAGTTGTAACTATGGAAATAATTATTAGAAATGCAAAACATATCTTTTTCAAATGAAACTCAAAAAAGGGGGTAGTTAAAAAAATAAACAAAATGTTAAGAAAAAATTTAACATTTATTGTGTCTTACCACAAACAGTTATAAAAATAAGACAATACAAAAATACTATATGAATAGTTAAAGTACAAAATATAAAAAAAAAACTTACATGTGTCCTATCTGTTTACAATGGGGAATTGATACAAAAAACTTGTTACTGCATGGAGGTTAACCTTTTTTAACAACAAAACAAATGAATATCAAAAATAATAAAACGAGCTGTCATAAGTTAACATTAAATTAAAAAAAACTGAACAAATAAATTGACAGCTAAAGTCAAACCCTAAAATTTTACAATTTATTAATTATTACAAATCCTTTTTTATAGTATGAAATTATGAAAGCAATTATTACTAAAAAAAGTCTGTCTTTACTTTAAAATTTGACACAAAAAAAAGTTACCTGGATTTCACAAAAACACTTTGAATTTTCCAGATACTGACAGAGAATGTAGCGTAGATGTAATTTTAAACTTTTTGTCCTCGTTTTAGTGTAGTGTTTTGTACAATTTTATGTTATTTTTAATGTTTCCACATTCTACGCTTGCTGGATAGTTCACATTTTGATGAAATGCCCCTGAAGATACTATTTTAAGCGAAAGTACTTGGGCTAGATTTAATTAACTTATGCTCGATAATAGCCTTATTTTCAAAGTACATATACAAATATTTCTACAGTACATTACATAAAAAAATCAACAATACATATGTTAATACAAAATACATATACAATCATTGTTTGTGAGACACTTGTACACTACTCGAAAAAAGGGGCAAAAACAGAAAACTTTACAATTTGACGTGAATTTGGACATAACGCTGAAGCTCACCGCTCTTGACCGAGGCTCCGCGGAAATGATGAAATTATCTTTTAAATTCTTTCGCATAACTTAAAATAACAAAACACTTGACGGAAATATTTTTTTAAAACGCAGAATATGAAACGCCAAAGAATGCCGAGTAAGTGCACATCTGTAAAATAATAAACAACTCTAAAATGGTTTATATTAACTCGAGCTGACCTAAGAAGGAATTGAAATATATTTCGGATATTTTAACTTTTACAATAGGAACAGAGAAACATGGAAAACATTCTTAGTTATTTTAATTCATATATGAGGAGATTCCAATTTAAAACATATACGAGGGGATTCCAATATATATATCAAGGAATTTATATACCAAAGAATTCGCAAATGCTACAATATCAATAGAAATAACAAAAACTATACAAGTCTCAAAAGAACCTACCTACAGACCATAGAAGTAACGATTTTTCTAAGACACTCTCTGATAGAGTTATGTAACCACCGGTTTTGATAAATTTGATAACAATATGTAATAAATAAATATGCAAAAGATTAATCGTCATTTTTTACTTTTGATTTTAAATACTAAACGAAAAGACCGGTAAATTACATGGAAAACTGATACAATCTTACTGGAAAACCACAGAAAATTCTTTAAAATGCGAGTTTTTAAAGTTACTGATATTAGTTTGTTGATGAATTATTGTAAAATTAGCTTCAAAACTAGATTTTTTGAAAATTATTCATAACTTTTCTAAAGATGCACAGAAAATTTAATTTCACGTGAGAGTAGGAACAATATCACACGTATTCAGCTACAAAAATATCAAGAAGTTTCACTTTATCAACGTATAGAGATAAAGCAACAAATAACTAGAGTGAACAGAATCTCTGGATGTCAAAAAAGTCCCCAATATAACAACGGACGGAGTGGAGTCAGCATATCAATCTAATTAGAGCAAACAGAGTAAATAATAATAACTACAGAAAAATTACCTATTCGAAACAGATCAAAGAAAATATCAGATTCTTCGATACCCTGACGTATCATTTTTAAGATTTGTTTTCATCATTTTTATTCATTTTTCTGGTTGTCATAGTAATCATTTATTTACAGGAGCACAAAGGACTTGCTCAAATCCTTAAAACTTGAAGGTAAACTCGAGCACAAACTCGAAAAACTGGAAAGTAAGACAAAGAAATTGAAAGAGAAGAAATTGGCTCTCTTTTCAAAATCAAGTGACAGCGATGGATGTACATCAAGTGTTAAACGCCGTTCTTCAGTACCATGCGAGCCTGAAGATGACGGTTTTCACATGGATGCCATGCCAATTAATGTACAGCAAATTATTCCACATTTGTTGGGAGGAGAGATTTATTTACATCAATGGAAAGTTCTGAACAGTGGAAAATCTGCATGGACTAATGAAGTGAGTATTTTTAATAGTATAGAAAAGCTTAATCACATATAAAAAATGGAAATAATTCTTAACTTCTAAATTTGTTTTTCACCCACCCTTAACACGTTGAAAATCAACATTGAATATTTATGAAAATGTCGAAAAGAATAATTTTGAAAAATTTTAAATTTTTTGGAAGTGTTGAAAACAAAAGTTTTCAGTGTTTTAAGCAATATTTTGAATTGTTTACTTTTTTACAGACTCATTTAGTGTACACTTGGGGTGCCAAGGCTCTAAAAGCGTTAGAAACAATAATTTCTGTCCCACATTTGAAGGCTGGCGAAACAGGAACTATTGCTGTCCGTTTACAAGTACCAAGTAAGTACATGGTTTATACACACATATAGCATTTTTTATATAAAAATGCTTGCACGCCATTCAAGATTTACGTCGTCAGAACCCCAAGGCGTTGCCAACTTTTGGCCAACCCGTCAAAAATAAAATTTTGTTTAAAAAATTCTTCTTTGTTTAGTAACAAAAAAGAAGAAGATTTATTCACCATTGATAGATGCCCGAAAAAATGTAACAAATACATGGAAAATTCAAAATGTGATATTTTACTGACTGCATATATAAATTAAATAGAAATAAAATAATTATAAATTTTGCTTAAATTTTGAATTTCTGACCTTTTGTTTAAATTATTATCACTTTTGCTAATACAAACCATTTCCAAAAAAGTTGTTTTAAATTTATTACTTTCATTACATAAAATTTTAATATTATCAAAATCCATAATATGGTCTTTGTCTATTACATGCTATATGACAATGTTAATGAGCAATGTTAATTTAATAATGTTCATTTAAATAGTATAGGAAGAAAGTATGATAATACAGTGCAATTTAAGCATTTTTTCTTATCTTCAATGACATCATCATTGTCATTATTGTCTGAATAACATTTGATTAAAGTGATTCTTCATTCTTGATAACTCACCCTCTAAAGTTGTCCCACATTTTTTACACTTTGCTCTTTCACCTTCTCCGCTGCTAAGTTTAATACTTTCAAAAGAATTCCATACTAAGTCACGTCTTTGTCCACTTAAACCTGATATTTTCTCTTTTTTCCAATTTAATAATCACTACACAAGTATTTATAAAAATAGTAAAGTAACTAAAATAAGTGCAAAGTGCCAAGTGAAAACTATAAACTATTATGCTGAAATCACAGTAAACGATGCTATGGGGGAACCACTTTGTTGAATAATAATAAAATACAATTCGCGATTGAAACTGAATATAGAGTATAGGTCGATTGCAGTGTCATGGCCGATATAAATGGTATAAAACAAACATAACAGTCGAATGTTTACCATTGCTTTTGCATGTTTAGTTTGGTTTAAGATAAGTTATTTTTATCATTTAAATATGGAAATTAGCCTTAATGATAGCTTTGAGTATTCTGGTGAAGCAATGAGACGATTGGTTGAAGGGGAAGCAGTTTTCAATGCCAACCATATATTTATGTGTGGCATTAAAACAAAAAACAGAACCACAGTTGAAATATCTTTTGTCGATCTTGAATTGAATTGAGGAACAGAACAATATCGATTTGATTTAAAATACTTTAACGTAGTCATAATACTGAAATTTACTAAAAAAATTTAATAATTCTATTCAAATCAACAGCTGCCTGGTTTGTTTATACCACTTCTAGTAATTTAAATTTATTTCACCAGAGGTCAGATACTTTGTTTTCAATCGCGAATAGAGATGTTCAAAAGGGATCTCCATCAGGATCGGTCTTGAATTATTATATTTTTGTTGAGATAACAAAATGAAGAAAAATTTTAATACATATTACTAGTGTAAAATTACAGTTGTTTTAATTATTAGAATAATTTAAAATATATTAATTTAAAAATTAAATAATCAAACCTGTATTTGTAGTTTGTTGAGCTGTAGTTTTCACTACTAAGAAAATCTCAATAACATAGAGGAAAAAAATCAATAAAAAAACCATGGTTGCAGCCAACTGGTTTTTTTAAGAAAAAAACCAGTTGGTTTAAACCAAGGTTTAACGATGTTGGTTTAAAACTGCCAATCCTGCAATAAAGTCGTCCCAGGAACGCAACTCAGCAATATTGGCAATATCATTTTAAAGTGGTTTACTTGAAAATGCATAATATATGTCTTAATTGTCAATATGAATGATTCAGATAAAATTAAATTAGAAGAATTTTTCACCAGTAACAAAAAACAAAATTTGTTCAATTTATTAATGTTTTGTATTTTGAGAACGATTTGAAAAGTGGAACTTGAAACGTCAAAATTAAACTTATTTTAAAATAGTGATTGCATTAATTAATGCATGATTGGATGCATGAATGGACTGCTTTGTCCCTCCAATACACATGGCTTCAGTTTTCTTAATGTTGACTTCGAGACCCCATTTGTTATATTCTTCTATTAGCTTCCGAGTCATGTAACTCAAGTCGTCATGATCCTGAGCAATCAGTATTTGGTCATCAGCGAAACATAAGGTGTACAGTGTAGTCTCGTCATTGAGAGGGATTCCCATGCCATTACATTTTCTTTTCCACAGCTTGAGTGCTTGTTCCAGATAAATTTTGAAAAGGGTAGGCGAAATACAGCAACCCTGCTTTAGTCCTTTCGTGACCTTAAATCCCTCAGATATCCTTGATCCAGTTTTAATTTTTGCAGTCGTTCCATTATACAGACTTTGGATTGCTTTGATAAGACCATGCTTAATGTTGGTTTGCTGTAGGGTTGACCATAGTTTACTGAGAGGTACACTGTCATATGCTTTTTGTAGTCTGTGACGGCTGTTTTTTTCTCAATAACTTGCGTAATAGAGTACAAGTGGTCTATTGTGGATCGCTTGTGTGATCGCCTAGCATTATATATAATAATTATAACAAATTAATTCTTTTTGTATTTTTATATATGTACCTACGTTAATCTTTCAGATAATCCTGGTCAATATGAATGCTACTTCAATTTCCATCATCGAGGTCGCCGATTCGGCCATTGGTTGGGCTGCCAAATAATTGTGGATCCATTTGATTTAAAAGGCAACAAATCAGTTTTGGATACTGCATATCTTAACCCTGTTACTTGCTACGAGAACATTTGGCAAGGTAAGACTATCTACTTTTTAGTATCAATAAAGGCTTGACGCCAAAGGGCTTCGAGATATGTCCAAAATAGAGATGCAAATTTGATTTTAAATATATCTTTCAGGTACATCAGTAGCGTCCAATGCATTCAGTTCGTCTTTCAACCAATCTAATCAGACTCAAGATGATAAAACCAGTGAGCTGCTACCAGAAAACAAACCCGATTTGTTTGACTTTTCTGAATCATCAAACATATATGGGGATAAGATTGTTCGAGATATAACTTCAAGAGTAGAGGATATCAAATTGCAGGACCCCACCGATACAAATTGTAGCAGTGATTCCGATAATCAGAGCATTATCTCGTTACCCGAGAGCAACGATTCCAAAGGGTTACCATCTGAATATGTCGTTGTTCCCATCCCAGATTGTTTCAAGGTCGATGATTCTCCAATCGCTAATAAGACGGAAGCAACTACCAAAGTTGAACAACGTAAGTATTTGTCAAATATTTTGGTAGTAATCTTTCAGGTTATATTCATAAATAAATGTGCCTAAATCCTCTAAAGCTTGCTGGTGAAACATCGGTTTAAATATAAATCGTTGCAAAAGGATCAGAAAGAAGAACCTCCGTTATATACTGAAGCATTTTTCAGGGAGCAGGGAGATATATTTTTTATAAAAATATACGAAGTCTGTCCGATTACTTCATTCCATGTCTCTTTTGGTCTTCCTCTTTTTTTTTAATATTTTTACTTCCACACGCTTCTTACTCTTATAGTATCTTTCATCTGGTGTAAATGACCCCCAACAACTCTGCTGTTTTTGTTCTATAAATTCCAATGTGGATTATATATTCGTTTGTTTCTTATAACTGTGTTTCTTATTCGATCCATTTTGGTATCACCAAAACTTCATCTCTATAGCCTGTATCTTGCTTTTTTGCCATCCCGTTCTTCATATCCTTATATCGTCCATTTTAGACAAAAGCCTTTCCAACTACTTCCGTCGAACTCTATCCTGAGCAACATACTTCCAATTTGTTCCGGCCATTCTTTTGATGTCATCTACCCATCTCCTCCGTGGTCCTGTTCTTTGTAGTCTACCTTTGTAAGGTCTCCAATATTGTATTCTGGCGTTCCAACTTTGGTCTTTTGGTCTAGCAGGGTGGCCTGCGAAGCTCCATTTGCTTTTGGCAATTGTTGTGATATCCTTGACTTTCGTTTTTAATCTTATCCAGAATCGTATCCCTTTCTATCTTGACAGTTGTACACCTATCACTCTCCTTTCTATTGCCATTTTTGTTGGCAAGTTTGTTCATATTTGCCTTGGTCACGGTTACCATCCCGTTAGTACCAATAATTTGCTGCTAAAAGTCAGAATAGGTCTATAAGCTGCTTTGAAAACTTTTATTTTTATATTCCTTAATATTTGATACAGTTGTAACGTTTTCTCCACTCTGCTATTGATTTCTGTTTCTGCTTTTAGAGATCTTGTTTATTCTATTATTACTTCTAAGTATATAAACGTTTCAACTTGTTCTATTTTTGTTCCTTCAATTTCTATTTTAAGTTCTTCTCTTTTCTTTCATCTGCAGTATGCGTAACTTTCGTTTTGTTAATATTTATCTTCATTCCGTTTTCATCGAGTACTTTTCATATTTCCAAATTATTCTGAAGTTCTTTTTCCAGTTTTTGTAATTAGCACCAAATCGTCAGCAAATACTCCTTCGGAGATATCTCATCTTTGCAGCTTTCACCCTAAATTCAGCTTTTTACTGCTTGTTGAACATTTTTTAATAATTTCGTCCATAGATATTATAAATATTGTGGCTAAGTGCTCATCTATGTCTTAAACCACAATTTATTGTAAACGTATCAAATTTTGTAGTATTACTAATTACGGCATTGTAATTCTCATTGTATATTTTTTGTATTATTCTTAATATCTTGTCCATTGCTTTTTATCTTACTATTTTTCATTTTTTCTGTCTCGGTTCTTTATCGAAGGCTTTTTCTAGGTCAAGAAATGCTACGTACACTTTCTTTTTCTCTTGCAGCACTTTTTGTGTTATCTATTTTAAAGTAAATATATGATCCTGTATACTCCTGCAACTTCTATATCCCCTTTCTGCTTCTTCTAATGCTATCAACAAGTCCTCATAGACACTTCGTCTAAGGACTAGCAATCCCAGTGGAGACCTACGTTACCTATGTGACCAATTCCGTTTATAACTTAATCATCCTAGTTTTTTAACATCAGATGTAATTCAAAGTTCAGCAAACTACATTAAAAGGGTTTTTACCCACATATTTAGTGATTTCAACATGTAAATCCAGATAGCACTGTCCGATGGAATAGTTATTCCGAAAACGTTCTGTGATGTAGCCCGACAGGGTTTTTATTAATATACCTTTTATAAAGGAATTTTTTAAACACAAATTTTCGTTAATTGTTCTTTCCATCTTTTATATTTGTTTTATCTCTATTATTAATTTTGTATTTTTATCCTTAATTTATCCTTAATATTTCGTGATATTTCTGGGTTTATATCGTCTTCTGGGTTCTGTGCTGTTGATTACTTTTATTCTCTTCTTCCATTTTATCTCCGAATTTCTCCCAATTATCTCTCTTTGCTGCTTGTTACAAATGAATGAGAAAAGGCCAGTGTTACAAATAATGTAAGAAATGTCCAAATGTTATCCTTTTAAATGGGAACTTAATTAATGAAGATGAAGTGTAGGGAATAAGGATGCTTATGGTTAAAATAAGTTGTTGACCAACAAGGAATGTAGCCAATACAAAAGAAAATATAAAGCTTACTTGAAACACTACAAGAAAATAGGCTTAGCTCAAGAGAATGAGAGTTGTGCTCAGAGAGGAGGTCGGCACGTTTGCTTGCCTGTAGTAACTTAAGGTTAGATCAATCCTAATATGATCCTGAAACGGGCGCCAGGGTGAATTTTGAATATCACTCCAATTTGGGTTATCTAAAGTTATATACTAACTGAAAAATAAAAGATTATGGGAAAACAAATAAAAATCTGAAATTCTTTATACACTATATTTTAATCCTAATTTACTTATAGCCCCAAAACATATATGTATATATACCAAAAATAAATCCCCCAAAAATATATATTTACAAAAAACAGTTACTTAAAACTATAACCCCAAAATATACATATACTACTCTCCAAAATTAACGCACTACCTAAAATGGACCATGATTTTGAAACTATATTTCTTTTGAACCCTTAATTGGATTTCGATAATTTATTTTTCACATTATAGGTATATTTCTAATTAATTACTATAATAATGTTTTTTGAGAAATGTCAACGTTTTACCCATATACGGGGTGTAAAAATAAAGTTGTGTTTTTTCGTCTAATTTTGCAACACCCTGTAGAATGTATTAGAAACAAACGCTACATGTTATTAATATTTCAAGATTGCCTCATTCTTTCTCCACATTTTTGTAAAAAAATCATCTCAATATCTTTATTATCAAAAAAGAAAAGTATGTTCAAAGCATTACGTGATTTTCTACTCTCCAAAATTAACGCACTACCTCAACTCTACCATAATTTTTAAACTTTTCTTTTGAATCCTTATTTGGATTTCGATGATTTTTTTTGCACTGCAGATCTATTTCTAAGTAATTACTGTATTAATGTTTTCTGGGAAATGTCAACGTTTCACCCATATACGGGGTTTAAACATAAATTTGATTTTTCATCTCGTTTAGCAACACCCTGTGAAATTTATTAAAAGCAAACGTCTTATTAATATTTCGAAAAAGCTTATTTTTTTTCAACATTTTCGTAAAAAATTCATCGATTTCTTTCTTATCAAAAAGGAAAGTACTTTCAAAGCATAACGTGATTTTATCGAATTGTAATACTCATTAATGGAAGCAGTTAGTTGGCTATGAAAAATCAAACAATTTGACAGGACAGTTTTAAACTGTCAATATTGTTTACATTTCAAAAAATTGTTTTGCTATTTTGCGTATGTTATATAGTTGACATGGACCGTATTTCAAAAAATCTAAGCCGAGATGAATGTGTTCATGCAATTACTTTAGATGATGTAGGGTTAAGTTATCGTGAAATAGGCTTGAGGTTAGGAGTATCTCATACTATAATATCACGAGTCATTAAACGATTTCGAGAAACAAACGACCATACAAGACGGCGTGGACAAGGAAGAGGAAGACTCACAACACCACGTCAAGATCAGTTTTTCAGGCTTCGTGCTATAAGAGAACGTTTTCTCACAATGAGATATTTACAAATACAAGTGGCAAATGTTCATAATATTCAAATTAGTAGAAATACTATACAAAGGCGTCTCGCTGAACAAGATCTGCATATAAGGATACCAGTCAGATCACCAGCTTTAAACGTAAATCATCGTAGAAGTAGATTAAAATTTGCCAGAGAGCACCTTGACTGGAATATTAATGACTGGGAGCACGTGTTGTTCACTGATGAATCAAGGTATTGCTTATATAGCTCAGATAGACGTGTGAGAGTTATTTGACGGCCAAGAGAACGCTACGCACAGTGCAATATACGACCTATTACTTTATTCAATGGAGGATCTGTATTGATTTGGGGAAGAATGTCTCTTACAGCGCGAACGGAACTTGTTGCTTTACGAAGAGGTTCCTTAACAAGTGAAATGTATATTACAGACATTTTGTCTAACCATGTAGTTCCATTTGCTCTTTATATAGGAAATAAATTAATAGTATTTCTATTATTATTCTCTCTGACCACGCTTTCCAGAAGTTTTTTTTCAGTCTTTGATGTATTATACAATCTACAACTGCCAAAGGTATGATTATTTTACATTTTTACTATTCCTTGTCTTTTTTCTTAGCCACTGACATTACTAGTATCCTTAATTCTGCTGCTTCAAATTTTTCAAATTATATGCTTGTTGCGTTCTGCACATACGGTGACCTCAATATAACAATTAAGGTCATCCTGAAGGGGGAGAGATATTCTGTTCAATCTAGAACTCGCTGGTTTCTCCCTTTCGAAATGGGTATGTATATTCAAATAAAAGAAGAGAAATGAAAGGCAGCGGACTGTATCAAACTCTATTTTAAAAGCTGTAAAATTAATCATAAATATACATAACCAAATATACCATTATAATTAAAGAAGAATATATTACATTAAAGAAGAAGAATATATTACAAATTTAACTATTAGCTACTATGAAACACACCAACAGACACATCGAAAGACAACCATAAACCAACCAAAACAAAAATGTCGATTCTATAAAAAGCCACTGACAAAACAAAAGACAAAACCTACCATAGCCGCAAACATACTATACATAAAAAGATAAAAGCCAAATTAATAATCTTAATCTAAAAACAAAAAATCAACCTAAATAAGGATATGATATTTTAACGTTATAAAAACAAATTAAGAATGCGGTGCATACAAATAATTAATAAGTACAATTATTAAAACAAAACATACAAGAAACAAAATCGGTGTTAACAAAATACACAAAAAAAATATACAATACAGTAAATAAACCGAAACAAATGCAAAATGTCCAATTAACAATGTTCAATCTCGATCGCGGCACAAATACGATGAAGTTCCAAATATCAAATAAATATACCAAGTGCTACTTAATATATGCAGCAACAAATTAATATGGTGTATTGTTTCTTACCCCATGAAAAAGATAGCCCCAACGCTATTGCAAATAATGTCTTCAGCGACACTTTAACTACCAAAAGTTGTGATGCACATTAGCGTCTTTCTTGGTCGATGCGGAATCAGGTACTCTTCGTCATTGTTTATTCGTGTCCGTTGTCATAGCCAGGGCTTTATCAATTTTATCTTTATCATATTCCTTGTTTTTTGTCACAAATTGTCTCCGTTTTTTCGATTTCTGTTCTTTCTCCGCTACTCCTCGTTTTATTGCATCTCCATATTTTTAAAAATGCCTTTTATTTTCCAATCTCCATTCCTCTCTTATCTTTCCCTTTTAATATTTTCCCTGAGTTCTTTACATTTCTTAGTTATGCATTTTCTCTTTCTGTGGTTGTTGCATCATTATTTATGATCTGCCTTTAAATTTTTAGCTGACTCGTTTTTTACATAATTCGATTTTTTTCCACGTGATCTCTTACTTATAGAAAACAAGTTTTCTGCCCTGTTTGTGTTGTCTTTTTTATTTACTTCCTCGTTTAGGTGTAACCTTATAAAATTTGATCTGTGTCAAATTTTTAATCCATTTACTACAATATTGTTTCTTTTCGATTGCTTTTGGAGCCTTTCTAACCTATTTTTCACCACATTTAGACGTTGTTTTGTTTTTTTTTTCCAATTCCTCCTTTATCTTTAGGTCTGACTTTTTAGTTCTATTATCTCTTCTTTATATTCTCTATTTTCTTTTCTCATTTCTCTGAGCCCTTTATACATTTTTCTTAGTAAAGGTTTTATTGTCGATGTCATCACCTACCTCTTCACACTCAGATTACTCTTTTCTTGTTTTTCTTGCCGTCCATAAAAAGGGTTTTAAAATTTCTTTCTTTCATTTTTCCATAATCTGACGTTAATCTCTAATTTCCTTCACCATTCAATTCCTATCAATTCTGTCTTTTTAATTATTTTAATAGTTAACGTTTAAACTAATTATTCTCTGTTCACAAATTGTTGATAGCACGAAATATGCCTCAAAATCATCAAACGGTCGTAAAATTTGTATCATCATAGCCGTCCCTGAGGTGTTTATTAATTAAAATTAATATTAATATTAATAATGTTTTAATACTGATATATTTAGTAAAAAACAATTAAAACTTTCACGGCTAATGTTGGTTATTATATTATATTAATAAAAATAATAATTTAACCATTAACAATTTTGTAAATAAGAATACCTTATCTCTTTGGATATTTCAATACTAATCTTCGCGTTTAATCACTTTACTAGAAAACCTGGTATTTATATCCGAAGGTACTATCGGTTGCAAGATAATTAGGATGGAATTCCCCAGATTTTTAATAATATAATGGGTATAGATGCCGGATTTGGCCACGTACCTCGTCTGTTTAGTTTATATTCGAAACTTAACTTAAAAGGGTGAAGTTATTACGAACGAAAACAATTTGTTTGTTTAGTACGTTTTTGATCGCATGTAATTTACGGCTCGTCGGTGTTTCCGCTTCTACGGCAGTAATTAGCGTCTCGAATATTTCTTTTGCGAATTATATGCAGTGCGTGAGTGATTTTTTATTCCATATACCTACGAACATATACGTACCTTTCGCTCGTGCTCGTTTTGTTGGATTGTTTGTGATGGCTTCATCATCAACATCATCAAGTTTTACACCGGTACTGTTGCGTACAGTCAGTAAGTCTGTCTCACCAAGAGAGAAGACTATTGTCCTGAATGTTCACGATGCTCTGGTTTCTCAGAATCCCACAAACACTGTTCGCAACATAGTCGAAAGTTGTGCCAACATGACAGTCGTAGAGGAGTCAACTATATATAGGTTCCTATCAGAAAGAAAAAAACACGGTATAGCTAACCCAAACACAAACGAACACTTAAAGAGAGGGAAAAAGCCTATTGAACTTGATGAATTTGCCAAAAATGGTATTCGAAGGAAAATTCATGGATTTTTTTTTTCAAAAAAGAAATACCAAACCTAAATAAAATTTTACAAGAAGTTAGAGATGATCCGGATTTGCCTCATATCGGACGAACTAAATTGTGGCAAGTTTTAAAAGAATTAAATTTCCGGTGGGAGAAATCAGACCAAAAATCACTTTTGATTGACCAGGAGGAGATAATATGTTGGAGAAGAAATTATCTAAGATCCATACGAAAATTCCGGGCTGAAGGAAGGCCAATCTTCTACCAGGATAAATCGTGGATAAACTCAGGTCATACTCTAAAAAAAGTTTGGTCAGATAAAAATATATTAAGCTCCAGGCAAGCCTTTATGGAAGGTTGGTCTACTGGTATCTCCCCACCTTCTAGTAAAGGCAGTAGATTAATAATTTCTCACATTGGCAGTGAAAAAGGATTTGTTAAGCATGGTTTGTTGGAATTTTAGTCCAAAAGCACAAAAGACTATCACGAGGAGATGGCAGCTGATGTTTTCGAAGAGTATTTTGTGCAGATGATTGAACACATACCACCAAATTCAATTATAGTATTAGATAATGCACCTTATCATTCACGACTAGTAGAAAGACTTCCAACGACTGCGTGGAAAAAACAGGATATTCTTGACTGGCTGTGGAATAAGTACCTGCCTTACGACGATGGAATGGTAAAAGCAGAACTTTTAAAAATTCCCGGCAACACAAATCTAAGTTCAAGGAATACGTAGTTGACAAAATGGCGGAAAGGAGAAACATCACAGTCCTTAGACTTCCACCCTACCACTGCGAAATAAATCCAATTGAACTCATTTGGGCACAAATGAAAAGTTATGTGGCTAGAAAAAATACGTCATATAAAATACAAGCTGTACGTGAATTGTTATACGAGTCTTTACAACACATTACAGAACAAAACTGGAAAGATGGAGTAAGACATGTAATAGAAGAAGAACAAAAAATGTGGGATCTTGATAACATAATTGATGCGACCGTAGAGACACAACCGCTAATTATTAACCCTCAAGACGACTCGGATTCCGAAGTTGATCCTATTTATTTTGAATTTGAATAGTTTTCTAATCGTAATTATATAAGGTAAGTGATAGTAGTTGTAATCGTAAAGTATTAAAGGGGAAAGGCGCAAAACGTCGCCTGTCAAAATGTTCAATGTGTTTTAAATGTATCGATTTTTTTTCAAATCCTGAGAAAACTAAAAAGCCTTTTTGGAAAAATTTAAAGGCAGAATAAAATATTTATTAGAATAAATAAAAAGTTTCTTTTGCATGCAATATTTTCAATTAAAAATTATACTATATTCTCTCTTTTATTTTCACCCCTGTTGCATAACATAATAAAATAAACATTGTAGAAGTTTTCAGGGACTTTCTGTAATATACATCAGTATACACATATATTAATACCCTCAGTAATAATGTAATCTTTCATTCTGCTTTTAAATTTTTCAAAAATATTTATTAGTTTTCTCCGAATTCGAAAATAATGGATACATTTAAAACACATTTGGTGCCTTTCCCCTTAATTAAACAAATGTATCTTTTACAAATGGCAAAAAACTTTATTTTTGAATAAAATATTTTATTTTATTATAAGTTTTATTAAAACAAAAATACAATTTAAAAAATATATTTATTTAGTTCAAATAAATGTTTCAATCATATACTCTACGACACTGGTCGGCCAAAATACGTTCCTAATCGGATTATAAGCTTGACCGCTGTATTGTATTCCGGCAGATACAAGGTGGGTTAGTCGAAAACATCTTAAATCGTCAGTTTCAGGTTGGTTTTTACTATTATATCGTATTACCTACCCCTCTGTATTTCAGTTCTCTAATTAGAATTAAACTTGTAGTAAGCTATCAAGAAATTGTGAACCGATTATAGCCGTTAAAATTTATTTATTTATATTTAATATTTATATAAGAGGTGTAATTAATAATAATTAATAAGAAGTAAAGTATAAGTGGTTACAAAAGAGGTATAATTTTAGAAAAAGCTCCAGAAGAAAATGCTGCTGCAATGCCTAAGACAGAAACATCTGTGGAAAATTTCGATGATAACAACAATGAGGACACAAATGGACAAAAAGATACTTCAAAAAATGATGAGACAGCTTCGAATACGAGCCATAAATCAGATATTGTTATGGTCTCTATACCAGAAACCAATCAAGATAGCGAAGGTAAGTTGTATTGAAAATAGTGTTAATTTTAGAAGGACACTAATTAAAATCCAATAAAATGTACTTTTTTTACAAGCTAATCTAACTAATCCTTGGGTAGCGGCTAGATACTCATATGTGAACCCAATAGATAATAGATCTACTTCAGGGATGCTATCCTTGGTTTATCTCCCAATAGCGAAATCATTGTCCTTTTCTACAATTCCTGTGCCAGCACAGTTGCTTACTATCATTCCCAACCAATGAGGAAGGCAACGGGAAATCAACTTAATTGTTTCACACTCAAAGTTCATAGTATGAGTAATAGCTGCGAGGTCTGGGATCACGAGCTTCGTGATCCGGATGGCACCCGGCTCATTTTTTCATCCGGAAAGGAATTTGTGAAATCAGTTACTACCAGACATGTAGACGTAACTCACCAGGCTCTAAATACAAGCTAAATGTGCTACTGGTGAAAAACGGAAGATTAATAATCACCACAAACTACACAAAATAGCTACATGTATTGCCCGTGGTCTTTTACAACCAAGCAAACAAACTAGTCTGGAGAAGACACTAGAACGAACCAATATTTCTGTGCCCGGTCTCTCTGAGCTTCACTTTCGTAACGAGTGCCAATATACAACTACTTTGGGACATTCAATATGTTTCTCCGACAACAGTAATAAAAGTATTAAGGTTGTTGACTTTTGGGTTTCAAAATCTTTCTCCTTGTGTATTGCGCTATCGAGCTGTCAATGATCGTATTATTTCCTTACGATTGAGTGCTTGTCCTAGGGTCCGACAGAATAGGATATCACAAATAAAAGATAAAAAACAATTTTAAAGTCAATTTAAAGTTTCGAAAATATTTTACCTATATTGGGCTATGAGAGGATTTGACCATCGTTTAAAATTACTTTGATATAAATCTTGACTGATTGCGAATCATATTGAGCAAATCTACTTCGAGATTCAACTCGAGTCGAATTGGTTTTGGAGTCCATGTTATGCCTCATTTGTAAGGCTTATTCGTCTTTTAATTTCTTTGCTTTTTTGTTGGTAGTCACTAAGAAGCCAAGGTATGTGAAGTTGCCAACACGTTCAAAGATTTGATCTCCAAAGACTGTTTCCCGTTTCTCGTCAGCTTTAGGAATATTGGCCCCTATACCACTGATTCATATGTAATAATTGTTAAATTTAACAATCTTGTTATAAATCCAACATGTCTTCAAGTCAGCATTGAATCTAATATTACCCCAAGATACTTTACTTCATTCACCAGATTAAGACGTTTACCATTTAGGATTAAAAAACCCATTCCCTCTAAATTCCCCCTTTCATTGTTACATGGTACATGGGTACATTTCAGGAATTGGACTTCTGTGGGCTTATATTAAGCCCTACATTTGAAGTCCAGGACATGATCTCTGTCATTGCTGAGTGTAACTATCAGCCCACCCATGACCAGATTCCACAAGCAAGGAGATAGAACTCCCTCCTGCGGACAGCCTCTGGTTACCTGTGCTGGTACTGTATCCCCAGTAACGTTGCGTATATCACACGGCTCCTCAACGTTCAGTTTATACATTTGTGCAGTTTGTCTCGTCTATTCCATCTATTCCTTTTAGACTATTCGTTCTTGTGATTGCTTCGTAGGAGGTGTTGTCGAATGCACCCTCTTTATCGAGGAATGCACCCTCTATATCGAGAAATGCTCCCAACATCACCTCTTGGTTTGTCAGAACGGACTCTACCCTCCGTACGAGATGGTACAGTGCCGTTTCTATAGAGACTCCTGCTCCTTACCTCGCAGATGTATCGGGATGTATATGTACGACTTGTCCCGTTAGGGACTTAGCTTTTTCCTGTCCGATTTTTACTGTCCAAAATTTGGGTCTAAAAGCCATCCTTATTAGCCTCCACGCTTTTTATTTCCAGTCCTAAGCTAGACTGCAGTATCATACATCATATTTTGTATAGAGCATTTCCCTTCTGTAGAAGTATTGGATAAATCTCGTCCGGACCCGGTGATTTATATTGCCCATTTGATTTTGTCCAGATTCACCAATTCTTTTGAAACAAGCCAGTTTTCCTTAGAACCATAAGTCATGGAATCCAGTCCAGTCTGCCATCTGTCTAGTAGTGTCAGTTTTTTAGACCCAGGAAACTGCACCTAAAGAGTTGGCTCAGGGTCTCTTCTTTACATACAAATATTTCTTGATCCTTTCTTACATTTAAATCTGTCTATATCCGTGACAAGAGCTCACAAAAACCAAAATTGAAGATAATTTATTAAATCTGACTTACGCCTTGAAAGATTTACCTCCTGTTTTTCTTGTAACTAATTTATGTTATTCCATCTCCTTGCTATTAATGTATACAGATTGAACCAAATTAAAACGGAACATACAATTTAATACATGTCTGTTTGAACTGCATTTGAAATAGTGGACCAATATAAAACTTGGACAAAAATAAATCCATACCTGGGTATAGACATTGTATAAAATATCGTTTAACTATCTCTCTCGTAACAATGTTGTTTGTGTAAGACGGGTTTGTATAAGCGATAATAGTTCAGGAAATGAAGCTCGAAAAAAGTTAAAATCTCGCAATTTTTTCGTCCTGCATGTATCCAGTTGAAATTTTAACAGAAGGTAGGTGATAGCCCAAGGATCAAAATCTATATCGAACCGAAGTGCGCTGAAGGGTTTTAGGGGTGAAAACTACCCCTAATTGCCAAAAATTATAAAATAACATATTAAACCTGAATATGGGTAAGATTTGGTTTGGATTAGTTAAATAATGATTATTTTATACTTTTGTATAGAGTTCCATCATATTTCAACCCTTAAAAACAAACCCTTGTTAGAGATTAATGTAAAAAAAATTACTAATTCTAAAAAAATGTTTTATCCTTGGATCGATTTGGATAAAAATTTGGATTTAAGCTCAATTCATCCGCTGCTTTATAGTTTATGTCATGTCGACGAACCCTGATTGTTCTTAGGGGTGAAAACTACCCCTAATTATCAAAAATTATAAAATAACATATTAAACCTGAATATGGGTAAAATTTGGTTTGAATTAATTAAATAATGATAGTTTCGTGCTTTTGGATAAAGTTCCATATTTCAACCCTTAAAAAGCGACCCTTATTAGAGATTAATATAAAAAAATTAGTAATGCGAAGAAAATGATTTCACCTTGGAAATATTTACATAAAAATTTGGAATTAAGCTCAACCCACCCTCTGCTTTATAGTTTATGTCATGCCGATGAACCTTGATTGTTCTTAGGGCTGCAAACTACCCCTAATTTTCAAAAACTGTAAAATAATATTACAAATTTTAAGATGAGTGAAATTTGGTTTGGATTAGTTAAATAGTGATTTTTTTATACTTTAAAATACAAATTCATACATTTTCAACCCTTAAAAATCAATTGTTATGAGTGCTATAGGTGAAAACAATTTTTTGCCAAAATTTTGCAACTTTTCAACTTTTCAAAATCACCCTATACAAGGGTTATATCTTATAAATTAGTTTTTATAAACTAATTTATTAGAAATTGAAAAAAGCAGAATTAAATACAAAAAAATTTATCAACATAAAAAGGCACCATATATTCTTATACATTTACATAAATATTGTTCTGAAGCTATTTTCTTGTGGCATTGTAAATTAATTACTATTAAACTGGGAATAAGCCACAATTAAAGATAAAAATACATTTATTGACGTTTCAATTTCCACTTCGGAAATCGTTCTCAAAATACAAACAGTAAATTAAACAAATTTTGTTTTTTGTTACATAGTGAAAAATTCTTCTAATAATTTAATTTTATCTGACTCATTTATATTTATAATTGAATTGCATTTATAAAATACCTTGTGAATGCGATCAGTTTTATTTAGGTGAATCATCAAGGCCATTAAATGTTAGAATAAGTGAACATCAATCTTATATTAAAAATAGAGAATTTGATAGATCTCAAATCTGTAAACACGCATGGGATAATGAACATAGGGTTCAATGGAATAATTCAAATGTAGTCCTAAAAGAAACGGATGGTAAAAAAAGAAAAATCAAAGAAGCGGCTCTAATTATGCTAAATGAGGCCAATTGTGTCGCAAATTCCTCGGCAGAATGTAGTAGGATCTGGTTACCAATATTGAAAGAGGAAGTTATTAATAAGAAAATACCAGTATTAGTAAGTCAGTAACATATAGAGGATACATCATTTATGTTTTTTAAATAACGTAACATATAAAATCAGAATTTTGATGTTTGTTGAAGGTAAACTAAATTCACGAACAAATACTTACAATGTCGGGATAGTATTATGAGGTTTTTTTCCTGGTTTTTCCCTCATAATTTACTATGGAATCACTAACAGGAGAATTTTACTGTCATCATGTCATGTGTTTGTCTTTTTAAAGACGAATTACATGCTATGATTTTTTTCTGACGGATATTCTCAAGTTAAAGTTGATTTCATGTAATCGAATGAACTATCTTATAAGTAAAGTCGTCCCAGGAGCGCAACTCAACAATATTGGCAATATCATTTTAAAGTCGTCTACTTTAAAATGCATAATGTATGTCTGAATTGTCAATATAAATGAGTCAGATAAAATTAAATTATTAGAAGAATTTTTCACTATGTAACAAAAAACAAAATTTGTTTAATTTACTGTTTGTATTTTGAGAACGATTTCCGAAGTGGAAATTGAAACGTCAATAAACGTATTTTTATCTTTAATTGTGGCTTATTCCCAGTTTAATAGTAATTAATTTACATAAATAGTTGAAAATATTTACATTTATAAGTAAAACAATTATAATATTAATTTTTCACCTGAGCACCCAGAACAAGTAGAGTTACAACTTTTCTGCACCCACATGAAACGCCGCATCCTTTTTTGCATTGGCAAAAAATAATTTTCAAAAGTTCATCGGGTGCAGGTTGTTTGTTCATGCGTACGGGTAATAACAAACCATCTTTGGAATACCATCCCCAATCTGTTGCTCTGATATTTTCATTGCCAAGCCATAGACATATGAGCAGATGTTTTATTCTGTTGTATGGGATTTCAAAATAAGAACGCTTGAAATTTCGAATGTATAACGCCCCACTAGCTAATATACCGGTTTAGTAGATTATTATGCTCCGAAATGTACTGTACTATACTAATGGAATTTTCCGGAAAAAAATTAACTGGTTTTTTTAACGTATTTTCTTTAATTTTTAACGATAGAGTGTTTCTTCAAAAACGATTTGTAGAGGTTTTTAAGAGCTACAAGGATCTGTGAATTAAATCTTTTTGGAACTCTTGGTTTTTAAATGGGGTGAGTTTAAAGGGCTCGAAAAAGATGGTGCTTGATCGTAAATCGATGCTTTAAACGGCTATATCTGGCCAAATATTCATTGTACAACAAATCTAAATAAAGGATAATTTTAGTCATTAAAAAAGCTACAATATGGTAATTTTTATTTTTTTCATATATTCAGTATTTTCGGGCATATTTAAAAAAAGAAGGGTAAAAAATATGAAATTGTAAATCGTTTCTCGCTTTAAGCTGTACTTTTTCTAAAACTAAGCATTTTAAATGGGTCAAACTTCTTGGACGTATTAACAATACATGTACAAAGCGAATTGCAGAAGGGTGAAGATCGATTTTAATTATGGGTGTGGTTAGGGGGTTGTTTTCATCGATTTTTTCGTAAAAAATGAGGTATTGACCTTATTTTCATCATAACTCACTCAATTTTTGAGCTAGAGTATTTTTTTATGATAGGTCCATTTATGCTCTTTAAAAAAGGTTTTGTGAGTTTTCTTCCAAAAATGCATCATTTTACCGATATTTGACTTTGAATCTTTCAAATTTGGCATTTGAAGAAAACCGCTGAACATTGATAGGCCGTATTTCGGTTCCTATTATATCGCAAAAACATTTTAAAAAATGAATTGTATTTGTCTTTTTAAAAGCTACAAATTTGTTCTCTACAATTTTTTTGATAAAATGCACGATTTTCTAGTTATTCGCGAAAAATCGATTAAAAACGTGGATTTTTTCGTCTAAAAGTTGTTACTTTCAATCGCGAATATCATTCGCGAACTTAAAAAATATCATTTTATAAAAAAAATGTATAGCCCATTTTTTGTTTAGAATCACTTTTTTAATCGAAACCTGTAGTTTTTCTATTTTTTTATTTTTTTTTATTTTTATTTTATTATGAAAAAAAAAATTTTCACCCCGTAGATAGGGTGGCAACCACCCCCTAGGCTTTGGCGCACTTTGGTGAGTTCAGGACTTTATGAGTTCAGAATCCAGCAGCCCGCTGAAGTATGGGATTTTTATAATATAATTATTTGACAATTTTTTGTTGGCCAACCACCTACAGCAGAATTGAGCCGAAATACATTATATTCCTATGTTCCGAATTTATTTCGTTCAATCTGTATATAGAACGTTTTAAAACTTGTAAAACAAAATTAAGCTAAAATGTTTTTTGTTTGACGTATTTTGTTAAGAGTTTTGTTAAAATGGTGCTAAATTTCTATTTTTATCATTTCTGTATTTTCTGAGAAACTTTTTTATTAAAATAAGAGTCCTTACTTTATTTCTTTCTCATATTTATTCTTACTTTTACTTATATTTTTTCTCTTGTAACTCAATAAATCTTTTAGAATATGCATGTGTCATTGTTGACGGACAAAAAGTGATGATCCCGAAGAAAATAATCAAATCAGAGTACTTACATTCGAATCCCACCGAAAAGACAGATACACTGATACAAGAAAATCTTGCAAGCTCTAACGTGTCTGTCAAGGAAAATACACCCGAAACACAAACTATCAAAGTTGACAACGATCTAGTGATCGACGGCGCAGAAGACGCAAGAAACAATTTTGAAGAAGCTGAGTTTAATTCCCACTGCTCTGCAGCTGGCTCCTGTTTCTCTGAATCAACAGCTGAAAGAAACAACAGGTTGTTCGTATTTCCTCCGGCTTGTCCCGGATACGAAGTCATCCGCGGTGAAGATTTTGTTAACATCGACGACGAAGAGAACTATACATGGGCCAAATCTGGTAAGTAATTATTACAAAATATCAAATCAACAAAAAAGCAACGGTATGTAAAATATTTTATTCTGTCGAACCTAAAATTTATCCATTTTCTTTCTCAAGAATATGATGTACAGAGTACAATTTACTAAATTAAATACAATTTTTTTGATTCAAACTATAATTTTCTTCATAAAAACATATTAAAATATATAAAAGAAATACATATTAAAATGTAAAATAAAAGTATACAAAATATTAATTTTTTGTTAATGTCTATATTGTTACATGATATTTTCTGAAACAGTTGCCTAAACAGAGGCCACGTTTAAGGCTGTTTTATCGGTGCACCAAAATTTTTACTCTGTTATTTACCGACGAAATGTCTCGAAATTTGGACATGTTATTCGAAATTATGTTGCCTTTAAAATGATCGTTTTACTTTTTTTATTTTTTTGAATTTTCTGTTAAAAAATTGGACCATACTGTTTAACGTTCTATTATAACCAAACTTTTCACGCCCATCAGTTGAAAGAGTTTTTTTTTCTGTAATCGTTGATTCTTTTTTCACTTTTCTGTGTTCAGTAATACTCGAGAAAAGCGTATTCAAACTTTGAAGAAAATTGCTAAAAAATACTAAAATCTAATAGTGAAACGTGTTCCTCATCATTGTCGCTTAGCTTGATCGTTATCGCATTAGTGACGTCAAATCTCATGAACGTACGGTACGGTCAGTTAGTTCGCTTGAATCAGAATCCATTTTAGTTCTTTCATTCTTGTATTTTCTTTATCAACTTGCTTAGTTTTTACAGTTTACAGTAATCTTATTTATTTTGAAAACATTGAAATTATTTAGTTTACGGGTATGTTTAAGTAATATATTATTAGTTTAGTGGTATAAGTTAAAAGTTCTTTAGTTTACGCGTATTTTGAAGTATTACATTAGGTTAGTGATATAAGTTATAAGAGACAAGATAAAAAATGAGTCCCAGTAAACGTCCTAGGTCAAGGAAAAGGAGAGCAATTGCACTACAGTAAGTATTTATTATTTATATATTTACAACCGTTTTTAAAAGCTTTTATTTAACTTACACCTACTTTACCTAGTTGTAGTGTCGATTCCTAAGTAACCCTTTTTACTTTTTTTTATTTACTTACCGTAAAGTACGTAAATAGAGGGTTCATGACCTTACATATTATTTGTTTATGGTCAAAATATTACCAATGTTTTACTCTTAAATAATAATAATAACAAATAATATCATTTGCAGAAAATACTTTAAATTTTATCGTTATTTCTAGTAATAGCTGTCATTCTCAGTCAGTTGAGATTGCCTCTCCGCAAAAACCATCTTTTTCGGTAGAAGGCAGAAGAATAGCGGACATAAACTTTTTCATTAAATCTATTCAAGGTTTGAATAATCATTTTCCATTTTCATGCAACTTTTCTAATATGGAGATTATCAAAGAAAAAATGGACGGATTGCTAAGTACATTGACTTTTAAATGTCAAATGTGCAATATTGAAAAGGAGATAGCAACATAGGATTCTGGTAAAAATTCACTAAACTTGAATGGTTCTGGTTATTCAGACATACAGCAGCAGCACGCTGCATTAAATATACCTGTGATGTCCTACAGACAGTATGCAAAACATATGGAGACAGTTGCAGATATCATCGGCCAAACACTTTGTGATTCCATAGAAGAGGCTGGACGGGAGGAATTAGCTTTAGCCAAAGAAATTGGTGAAGTAGATTCCGACGGAAATGGGTTAATAACCGTTATAGCTGATGGTGCTTGGTCAAAAAGATCGTATAAAGTAAACTACGATGCTTCTTCAGGTGTAGTACCTGACGTTGTAAAATTTATTAAATTAGTACGCCTTTGATGTATAGGACATGTAATTAGGCGAGATGAAGATGAAACGATCAGAAAAATTTTCGACCGAAGAGGACCAGTGGGTAGACGATCCAGAGGAAGACCAAAACTTAGATATCAAGATAACATAGAGGATGATCTAAAATCTATCGGAGTTAAAGCATGGAGAAAGTTGCCAGAGGCAGGGGCGAATGGAAGATTGTTGTGAAGAAGGCTTTGGCTCATGACGAGCTGTAATACCACTGATGATGATAAAATAACTATCCGCGATTTGTGTTTTATTCATCAATTGGATACTTTTCTTATGTAACTGCAACCTATAAATATATTAAAATAATGTATATTCCATTCAGAGAACTTTTTCCTCACAGTGCGTCGCCTCGAAATACTTGCCAGATAAATACATTTACTATTATGATGGTTTCGCAGGTACCAGTTTTTTATAGATAAATAAAAATATTATTTGTTTAATTTTTACTACGCTAATATCAGTTTTCTCTAACAAATAAATAACTTCTTGAAATAATTTTCAAGCTATAACTGCGAAATTGTTTATTTGTTTGTGACAACAAATTGTAATTTTATTGATAATAATATTCTTTTGTTATTTTAAATTTATTATAAATAAACAACGTGGTGTTTTTTGCAGTCACGTTTCATAATTTTTTTTTCAATACTATGTTTAGCTAAGACATATAAATTAAAAATGTGATTAAGTCTTTTTAAAACATTATCTACGATAATCAATCTAAAAAAAGTATTCCGACAAAACTAATTTGGATGGAGAATAATGCACTTATTGTCATTAAACCTATGGGCCGGAGCCACTGAATAAACATCGAAACTGCATATTTCAAATTAGGAAGTCACGTAGGGTCTGACATAAGCAGTGTAGAAAAGTAAGTGATACGCCCACTTCAAATCGCAGTATGCTTTAACTGCGAAAACAGCCTTAATCGGGTCATTTTTGACAATGATAAATAGTATCTTTACATATCCCATTTGTATTGTTTGTCCCAACATTTTTTTAAGGGTTTTACCATGTACCGGGTTTCTCATTATATTTTGAACCCCACTTATTTTCCTTAATTTCGGGAATACAAAAAAAAGTTTCAAATACAAGTTGTATTATCTTTATCTGTACCGACCAACAATGTAGCAACATTGTACCAAATTTTATATACAGGGAGTGCCCAATAAAATGCATCTTCAATATTTCAAATGGGACACCATGCATTTTTTATAGTTTTGAGTAGCCCGCATTTCGTGATTACCAATATATAACATTGTGTTGCATTAGTTTTGTTCTATAATGGCATATGGTACTACGCAACTGACATTTCAGAATGAAACAATTATTAATTTATTATAAACTGTCAGTCCTCATACCAAAATGGGTTGTACTGCAGATGAAAAAGTAGATATATTCTCAATTTATGTAAAAAATAATAAAGACAAGCAATCGGCAAGAAGAGAATATAGGCTGATTTATGCAGACAGACACCTTCTGCAAATACATTTTTATATAATTATCGTCATGTCATAAATGAAAAAATGTTTGAAAGGAAGAAACGTACTATCATAGGAAATGATGATGAAGATCTTAATACGTTGCCTTACTTTGAAGGTAAAAATTAAATACTTAAATAATAGATTAAATCCCATAATAACATTTTTATGTTAGAAAATTCCGAAACTGGTCTAAACAATGCTACTAATGCATTAGAGAAAAGCCGTGCGACGATACATAAGTTTTTAAAGATACGAGTTTTAAAAAGCACAACTATAAGCCGTACAAAATATTACCGGTACAAAAACTTTCCGATGTTCATAAGACAAAGCGTTTACAGTTGTGTCAAGACATGCTTACAAATTTGAACACTGATCCTAATTATTTCTTAACATTTTATGGTCAGCTGAATCAAATGTTTCAACTTCAGGCATTTTTAATAGAAGAAATAGGTATTCGTGGGAACAGAAAAGTAATAAAAAAATAAAAATTATGCAAATAAAAAAGTCAGGAAGTCAGGAAAATCAATAAATGTGTGGTGCGGAATATTTCAAAACAAAATACTTGGACCATTGATTTATGATTATTAATTAACTGGGGATATTTGGACACAGGCATTACAGAAGTGGATGAGTTAATAAATCAAAATTATATACAAAATTAATTAAATAGTATGATATGGCAACAAAATGGAGCACCGCCACATAATGTCGTAGCCGTTTAAGAATATTTAAATAATAAATTTAATGTGTGGATCGACAATAAGGGTACCATTACATAGCCACTAAATTGTCCCGACTTAACACCATGTGTTAGCTTTTTATGGGGGTTTTTAAAAGAAAAAAGTGTATTTTAATTGAAATACAAATATTAACACTATCACGGGAAAAGTTCGCGAGGAAATGGAAAATTTAAATGGTCATAATAACACAATATCTGACGCATTAGAAAATTTAAGACGAAGATATTACTTGTGCATTGATAACAAGGGAGGACACTTTCAGCATCTATTGTAACCTTAAATGTAGTATTGTATCTTAAATGTAGTATTGTAAGTCATTAATTTTACCATACGCTATTATAGAACAAAACTAATGCTACACTATGTTATATATTTGTAATCAGGAAATGCAGGGCTACTCAAAACTATAAAAAAATACAGGGTGTCCCATTTGAAATATTAAAGATACATTTTATTGAGCTCTCCCTGTATTCAAAATTTGATAAAATAATAAAACTTTTATTTGAAACTTTTTTGTGTATTCCCGAAATTAAGGAAAATAAGTGAAGGGTCAAAATATAATAAGAAACCCTGTACATTACATAACTCAATTTTTCAAGGTGTGGGTTTACACCCGAAGAAGCTGCTGCTTCTTGACATTTTTCTGGTAACAACTTTTCAAGTATTGACAATCGAAACTTATAAAATGACATTTTCTTGTTATTTCCGTGGTGCTTATTATACAATCTATGAACATTTTGCAAATATAGCTGAAACAGATGTATGCCAGTTTTTTTGTACCAACGTAAAGTTTTGTGTGTCGGCTGATAATAAGAAGAAATTTGGTCGTGAAGATCTACCCCGCCCATATATTTATTATATTGAACGACTGGCAGTGGTTTAATTTTCTCA